TAGTCAGAATGCCAAATAGTTAGGGTCGCTTGCGCGTGAATGATTTAGGCGGCGAAGTAATTTTCCTGTGTACTAGATGTGAGGATGTAATGTGTAATGAGCAATATGAAAGCTCAACTGGTACTTCTGGCTCCGAAGTAGGACGGGAGACTTGGTGCTGGTACCAAAGTGAGCAAGAGTACTTGAACTTCGTTCCAACCAGCCCATGCGAACTAGCCTCTCGGGGAATATCGTGGTGGTAGTATTTAAAACCTGAATCCATAATTAACTGACACTTTGTCAGTTGAATGTGGAGTAGCAACGCAAGCGGKTGCCGGACCCAAAGTACGGCAGAGATTTCAGTTAGGTCTCGAACCCTACCAAGGTGGTTAGTGTATGCCTTTCATATACTGCGACTTGGTACTCAAAAATGGCTGGCATTTCCTGGGCGCTGATCAACGCATTGATTTCATTCGTACGTTAAATGTACGTTAAAACTGTTAAACTAATATAGCTGGCCTCATATTCCAGAGCGGATTATTATTTGGCATGTCTTCACTTGATTACTGTAGCATTAGAATTTAGCTCCTTTCTTGCTCTGCTGGAACTCTCGTTCTCTTTCAAACGTCGAAATTTTGCTTTTGGCTTAACTTTTTGGATATCGTTTTCTGTCAAAGCGTAATAGAAGAAAAATGTAGATTAAATTGCATGCCTGAAAGACTTAATTGGGAAAACAAAATCGTCCTATGTCGTCTAAAGGAGCGTGAAAACTGAACATATAAGTAAACGAGGAGATCTAAGCAAGAACGCAATAAACTTCCATTTCATAGGTCTGCCAAAATTATGATTCTGTCTCTAGCTATTAAAGCAACAAACTGAACTGACACACGTCTAAGCTTATCAGTGGGCTGAAGTTTCAGAGTTGAGGCTTGCCGTAAATAGAAGATTTTTTTTTTTATTAAAAATACACATGAATTAGCTACAAATACGAGTACTTTTATATTTTTTTCAACAACTTATTTCATACATAAGTTTCCATCATACTTGTGCCACTCAAAAATAGCGAATTCTAAATTTTTTTTTACACTTTATTAATTAAATTAGAGTATTTTTTGCATATTTTATGGAGCGATAACCAGAACTCAGCAAAACAACTTGAATTTATCTCGTTTTTGCATGCATCTATTATTTTGCTGAAACYATATGTGTTTATTTATGCGAAATCCACTGACAGCATACAATTCAAGCCGCAAATGTGGTTACAGAGCAAAATAATATTATCAGCTGGACTCGAACGGCAGCAGCAACTCAATTAACTGTCACATTTTAATTGCCACAGAGGCGTGCGGAAAACAAAAACAATAACATAAAACATGCAGCAAGTATTTGTTAAATCGCAGTCAATTTAATGATGAACGAAAACAGACAATGYAAATACAGTGGCGAGTAAATATATAGCAGTTTTGTTTGATTTTTGGAGCTTGTGGACTTTTCAGGATTTTAAGAGGATTCTATCAATGATAGTATATGAAAGTATTGATCAAAAGCGTGTACTAGCCGTTTATGGGTTTTAGTTAAAGGTATTCGTTGAAAAAAGGAACTCGGTAGAAAACTCTCAAGAGTTTCAGCACTGAAGCGCTTAGATTCAATACGCTGAATTTGTTACGTTATACCTTCAAAATGCTTAAAGGAGGTGTAATAAAGTATATATGTGAATAAATAATCAAAATAACGAGCTGAGTCGTTATAGCGAGGTCCATCTATACCTGTCTCTTATACACATCTATATGTRAATAAATAATCAAMATAACGAGCTGAGTCGTTAYAGCGAGGTCCATCTATACTGTTTRTATATASGTGAACTAGTCCATCAGTTTTTGAGATATCGATCTCAAAYCGTGCACACATCCTTTTATTCCAAAGGAGCTGCTTATATSTTGGAACCGGCGATATCGAACGACTATAGCATATAGCTGTCATATAAACTGAACGATCGAAATCAAATTTTTGTATGGAAAACTTTTTTGCTTGACGAGTTATCCTCACGAAATTTGGCACAGSTTAKTTTCTAARATAGYACTACGATCTCCGAAGMATTTGCYTAGATCGAACTACTGTAGCACATAGCTGCCATGCAAACTGAACAATMGGAATCAWGTTTTTGTATGGACAACTTTTTCAKTTGATGAGATATCYTCACGAAATTTGACGCAGWTTATTCYCCAAGACAACGGATTAATTTCCAAAAAAATTATTTTGTTCGAGTCACTACAGCATATAGCTGCCATACAAACCAACCGATCAAAAGCACCATAAAGGATTTTGTATACCCTTTTAATACATGAAATTGTGTCTGTAAAGGGTATACTAGCTTCAGGGCAACCAGTGTTGCTCCAAACTGGACTTTTAATATACTATACATAACTCACACTCTTAAAAGTTATAGCGACAATTTGTTGAATCCGGCTCTTCAGTCGGGCGACACGACAAATAACACTCTTGCTGACACTTTGCACGGCATTGTGCACAAATACCAACAACACAGGCCCAATTTGCATACAAAAATGTATGTTTGCGAGTGAAAATAACAGTACATTGGCGAGTACTTCAAAGCACTCGACATGCACGAAGTTGTCAATGCGCACATACACATACATTCACACAATCAATGTGCCAGTTACAAAATCATTGTGTGGCAAGGCCGCTGAGTGGTTGGGGTTATCGATATGCGTTGTAAATGTGGCGGTTGTTCATATATATGTATCTATGTGTGTGTGTGTGTGTGTATTCACTTGAAATCCTCACTTGATATTTATGTTGGTCATATTTATGGAAGAGCTTTTAATTTTTTTTTTGTTTTTTTTTTTCTTGTTCAATTGGAGTATACTTCACTTCCATGAGTTCCATATAAATACAAAGAGCTGCAACAACCACGTTTAATATTTGTACCTCATTAAAAAAAAAAAACTTACGAGCTACCTAAATCGCGCTCCTACTTCATCACCATCCTACCAACTCCATTACATTCAATTAAGCCAAGGGCCGCCCAGCAAAAAGTGAAATGCAAAATGCGCGTAAATTAAAAAAAAAAAATCGCATTGCAATAATGCAATTAAGGTTAATTGCACGTGCCGAATTAAGTGCGGCGGCAATAACAACAATAACAACCACCAAAAGTTGCGCTTGCAAAGGCACAAGAGCACTTGAGGCGAAAACAAACAGCTCGCACAATTGTCACATCATTATGGCAATGCGGTTCTTTTCCATTATTATTTTATACTTTTTTGTTGCATTGTTTTTATTTTTGTTGTTTTTCCATAAATAAGCGTTGTTTGCAATATTGCTGTCACTTAAATTGCGTGTTGCATGCTCTTCAAGTTGTTGTTGCAAGCGCAAATATTTCGAGCGTGCACTTAAACTGACAGCCGGTCAGCTATGTACTAGGAAACGCTGTAAATATGTGCTGATATATATTTATATATAAGTATGTACATATATACATATTTGCTCAACAACAACAACACAGCGGCTGTCAGCAAAAACCGCTGAGTGAAAATAATGATGACTGCTAACGAAGTCCGCAGGCTTACGATAGACACCGCCAGACGCTTCGATGGCAGTAATTTTGCGCCATTATGCCAGACTTCATAGCAACAATCGGCACTTCCTTCATTTTGCGATTGCTGTTTGCTCAACCGTACAGTGTTTAGGTTTGGATAGTGTGAGAAATAAATGCTGTAGAAAAAGAATAAATATTTAAAAAAAAGGAGAAAAATTTATCGAAAATTTACAAGTTAATAATCGAAATTTAACACAAAATTCATCGAAAATATACCAAAAAATATCGATTAATAATCGGTTTTTAAAAAAACGTTATCGCTTATTGATCGGATATATCGAAAAGTATGGATAATTTGAGCCATATAAAAAAATATCGACAATTTATCGGCAGTATATCGAGAAATATTGATTCACTGAAAGTTATATCGAAAATTTTTGAGTATTTATCGGAATTACGCAGAAAAATTATGACTTTTTAATGGGATGTATATGAAAAATATCGATAAATTTATAAA